GTTTGACGTATGTGTTTGCATTCGGGTTCGTGGGCTCCATCTTGTTTGTTCTTTTTTGTCCACGTGTTTCTTCACTGTCCAAGTGAACAACAAAACACCACATCTAACCATCCACCCACACTTCTCAGACTTCCCACATCTAAACACCAACCATCGGTCGTTCATCTTGGTCATTATGCACCCCTTTGATCACCGCGCCTCGGCGCCTCCGAAAAGCCCGTCCGGTCTTTCGACCGCCTGGTCTCTCGGTCGTCCGCTTCGTCGGTCGTCCTGGGTCCTGTGGGTCGCCCCGACTTCAAGTCCGCAAACTGCTGCTGGATCGTGGGCTTGGCGGCTCGCAGCTCCTGAAACGAACGGACTCGATGATGCGGCCGAGACGAGGAAAGTCGCAGCCGCGGTTGGTTGGATGAGCGGGCCGTTGGTTGGTGGTTTCAATGGGGCTCCATGGGGCGAGGTTGCTGAAGATTGAGATGAACTGGGCATCTACTCAATGCCTTTGACTGGGTGTTGGGATATGTTGAGATCAACTTCTCTACTAGGAAATCGGTCACACATGGATATGATGATATGATATATGTTTCACATTGTTTCACTAAATGCACCTCGAAAGAGTTGGTGGTAAAGGACAACTCTTCCCATCAGTCCAGTTTCTATGTTCCTTATCTTATCAGGAAGAAAACACGGTGTTGTTCAAAAAGCAAACCTCACAAAGTATATACCTCTCACAGTCCATCATTGAATTCCCAAAGGACAAAGAACCCAACTGTAGATGAGCACACACACGCTGGAACTCTTTCTCAGTGACCAGACATTCAAGCTTCGTCGAACGTCTACACTGGTTGCAGGTTGGGTGCCGAGCTCAACGGAAAACATTTTCTCCCACGAATCTCTATCCCACAGAAGAAATATCCTTGTAGCCTACAGTGTGCCTACAGCTTAAGGGTGCAAAGCTACCAGCCATCTATTTGAAAGGGTGTCGGTCCTTAATCTGCTCACGCATCTTCTTCTCACGTTGCTTCAATCGACGCTGGTCCATCTTCACGTCGATCTTGTCGTAGACCTTTGGAAACTGGTACTCCAAAGCAAGTGCAATCTTGCTTTCTACCCATGTACTACCCAAAACACGAGCTGTATTCTACCCATGTACCCCTAAAATTCCCTAGACCCATCGTTGCAGTGTTTGAGCGGGGCCCCCCCTCACGAAAGGCAGTCAGCCAAAGTTCAGTTCATGGAAGAAAGCCTGGACATTGAGCAAAGGTCCTCCCCAAGACGGTATGCAAAGCTGCTTGAACCGATCAACGGACCAGTTTCCGCATGACTTGACTGGTAGTTGCACAAAATCACCTCAGAATATGCAACAACAAAATGGATCAATTATGATCAATTAAAACTGTTCATGGAACTTCCTGCGAGGTCTAGGACTGGGTACTTCTTCCTTCAACGGCGGTTGACTGTGAAACAGTGATCAAGAACGGCAAACAAACCTCCACTTGTTGGTGCAGGACATCGTCAAGGTATATGGCCTTATGTTTCTGGTGGGCCTTTTCACGGATTGAGAGATTGTGGTTTGTAAGACTCTTCTGCAAATATCAAGACCACAAACCAAGGACCAAGGCTGCTCCATACCATTGTGCTTGCTGCCGGTGCTCATGCAGGTGAGGAGACCGTGGTGTCATGAGTCCAAAGTCCAACCTTCAAGTAAGGGCGGCAGGCGGTAAGACAAACTATGCATGTTTTAATATGCAAACTTGAAATATATTTCCGTATATTGATTCCACCTAACTTTTATTTGATGTTGCCTGTTATTGTTTACCCATTCTGATATAAATATATACTGCTACGTATTTACGATTCACAATGTATGACGCATGCTTCCACGTCTCAAATCGGGCCACAACGTCTCATCACTGAGGATCCCCGCCACATCCGCCTCCTTGTCCTCCTCATCGTACTCCGCATTGCTGAAGAGAGACCTGGTTGTGTCGTCCCGATGTTCGTGCTGTGCACCGCGTGGCCCAGAAAGTAATTTCAAACTTCGGTGAAACAAACAAACACTCACATGCAAAACGATCATTGCTGAACGAACCACTATTCTTTGAAGGGTTCGGTTTTGTGGAATTTGTTGCGTTGCGTTTGGGAAAACTTTCCGGTCGTGGTTTCTCTATAGTCGTTCCCCCAGTGGAACTGAAAGGCTAGATATTTGTAGAAAAGTAATTTTCGAGGTGGCCATTTTCCATGACCATCATTACTTCAGGGCATCTAGGGCCTGTCAACGAAAAATGCAAACCAACTGGACCACAAGGCAAAAACAAAAACAACATCTCCGGCCGCAGGGCGAACAAGCAAGAGACAATGCATCATAATCAAAAAAAGGAATCAAGTTTTGTTCGTATGATGCACTTGGGTTGTTCCTTAAGGTGAAACAACACACAACAAGCAGTTGAGCAGAAAACACAAAAGAAGAGTAGGAAAAGTATAGACAGCCAACAAAACATGAATAAAACATCATATAGCCTAGCTTGTATATATAAAATAAAACAACACAAACTCAAGGCTTGAAAAGCAACGAATAAAAAAAACAACGACAACAAAAGCCTTAGAAAGCAAAAATAATGAACACAGGGAAACAATACACCACAAGAGGACAAGAAGCAGGAAAGTAAAGACAAGCAGGATAAAAGCAAGGAAGAGCAAGACAAGGGTTAAAACAGGCATTGAACACATCAAGAAAGCAGGAGACATCAGAGGGAAGCAATAAAGGCAAATGAACAGCATGGAAAGCAAAACAAACACAAAAAAAACATGCAAAACAAGAAAGGCAGGAGAAACCACAAAGAAGCAATGAAAAGCAAGGAAAGGCAAACAAGCACAAAAAAAAACAAAGCAAACAAAAGCACGATAAATCATAGAGAGGCAATGGGAAGCCCGAAAAGAAACAAAAATTGCAGATCCAACAAAAGAATCCGTAAACACAACACAAACACTTCACCCAAAAAAAGCCCTTCTTCTTAAAGGGTGTTGTCGACTTGGCACCTCCGTCCAATCCCGACGTCTCTCATGCTCATTCCACAAATGAACCGCGTGCGCATGCTCATCCAGCAAAACATGGTTTGATACAATGAATGATAAAAAGAACAAACACAAACACAAAGCCTTGCTTACTCGATTGACACATGAAACTACAAACTACCATCCACATCAAACCATGATGATTCGCTGACTTCGAACAGCTTTTCCGGGTTCTGTCACAATGTGCACTCATACGGTATACTGTATACTATTTCTTTGACCTTGTATCCCACCCTGCGCAGTCCGGTTCTTTTGCTGATTCTGCGCAGGGATTTCGGCCGCTGCATTCGCAGGCTAGACCCCAAATCCCAGATCCCACAGTGGTCGTGGGATCAACCCTTCCCAATGGGCGGATCGATGGTCGGTGCAGTGTGGGAGATCCACCGCGGCGAGTGGTTCTTGCGGATTGATGGGGCCACAGAAATCAAGGATCCTCTCATACCATACAGGACGGGAGATGCCAACATAAACATGTACAAAAGCAATCGTCCAAACGAACAGGAACAATAATATACAATAAATGTGAAAGCAAAGGAATATGTTTTCCGCGGGATTATATGAGATTAAGTCCATGGTATTTGCTAAAAGGTGTTGGTGATTGTTGGTGGATCATGGTGGATCTATGGGGACTCCGGATTTGTTGCATTACATGATTTATCATAATATGTTGAATCGAACAGTCAAAAAACTCGTGAAACCTTGAACACTAAAGCAAGAAAGTCAAGACAAACGAGAAACGGCCCAGGTCCTACTATCTTGATTCATACACTTGTCTAGACTTGTTCACTCTTCTTGTCTTTCTACTTTCAGCTTTCAGGGTGTGTGACTGATCCTAATGGTTCGTTTCAGCGAGCTTAGCAACGTGCAACCAAGCCAATCTAGTTGCCAGCCAATGCAAATGTCCGTGCAAATTGCCCACCTTCCATGGATCCCTATAAGCATACCAATCTTACGCATATCCAGGGTACATCAAGGTGCTGCTGGGATCTATAGAGGGCTGGAGGCGACTGGATGTCCACCATGTTGTGATCTCTGCGATGTTTTTGCTTGATGAGATTGATGAGTCATCCCACAGTAACAAAAGCATCGACACTGTCGACCTGCACCATGTCGCCTCAGATCGGAGAAGGCTGAGACCAAAGAAGGGTCTCTCCAAACATTCCAAACCAAGTGTGTATATACAAGAGCAATAGATTCGTTCATATTCGTTCCCTTTCAAGGATCTGCATCCCAGCCAAGTATTTATCTCTAGCAAAATGTCAGAAAGAGTCCTTAAACAAATCCATTATCCGGTAAAAGAAAAAATCCTTAAAGAATCGTGATATGTCATGAAAAACAGGAAGTAAATCTCCCAGTCGGGTATCTTTCCGGCTATCCATACGGACCGTTCAGGGCAAATGTTGACATGGAACGCACCGTAAGATGCCGTGACTAGGTAGAAAAATCATGTAGTGGACAACACCAAGCACTCATTCAAACACTTAAGAGATTCTAAGAACATGTCAGCAGTCCCCCGAGTGATTTTTTGATTTCTTTGTGTACCGAAGTAGGGTTCGCCCACAGACAAAAAGAACGTGCACATAATGGCACGATATATTTGTTTGTTCAGTTTCTATATTGTGGCCTCATCCGACGAGAAGCAAGGTCCCCATCTTAGCTCCCCGGCATCTCAAACAAGAAAGGTGTCTTCGACACCTCAGCGAGACTGGAATCTCCACCACTGGCGCTTTTCAAATCTCTTCAACGTGGGCCACCCTTGGCCGGCTTGGCCAAGAACCGAAGAAACACCTTGGATGCTTCAAGAACCGGCTTGGGCTTCAAACATGGACATCCGAAGTCCATGCACATCTTCATCATGCGCAAACTTCGAATCTTCCGTTTTTCCCATCATGAACCTTTTCGACACTGGGGCGTCCCGGCCGCTCAACGAATCGCTCCAAGGCAATAACCACCTCAATGGGCGTAAAAACAAACAAGCAGGAAAGGAAGGCTCAAAATATTCTGAAATACCGAAAAGGTCTTGAATTCTCAAGTCTTAAGTTTCAATGAGTTCAAGCTGGGTCTCTTGTAAGATTTAGATGACCCCCACATATTGTCTGACTGCTGCCGGCCACGCACACCCCTGAAGCTGCCCATCCCTATGCAAGCCCATGTTAGCTGGGCCTCACTGGAAAAGCTCTGGCATTTATTTTTATGATTTTTAAGTAATCTGGTGTTGAGACATAAGTCATAAGACTAAGTAAACCTCGGAAGTTCCTTGGACATATATTTAGAGTCTTAGGAAGGTTGCCAGGAATGAGAAGTAGGCGGCAGTAGGCTAAGGCGTGATACGGGTGTTCAATCGATCAGGCAAACCCTGCCCCACTGTTCTTTTTTTTCAACATGACATCTTTTAAGGGATCTTGGGGTCTCCATTTTTCGATATCAACCCATCGGCGTACACTACACTAAAAAAAATTGGCACAACTCCGATCTCGTGACATTCGTTGAAAGTTGCACCATCCACAATATCTTGGTCCGGTGCTTGCCAGAGGGTCCCCTTGGTATAAAGGCAAGCTGGGCAGCACTGTCGGAAGCGAGGCCTTTGATGCAGTGTCGCCACGCCACTGAACTGATTGATTTGTCTCCAAGTGATGCTGTACTCCACTAACAGTCACTAACACAACAAACATATGGACGACATGCATAATTCACTCATGGAGACCCGTCGAGCATACTATCCTCACTTTCCCTTGCGGTGGTCAAATGCTTTCTTTGTCAATATAGATTATATATACATCATTATACAGTACAGGACATCATGGAACTTTGGTCAAACTTCCGATCATCCGCAAACCCCGCCCAAAGATGTAGGGCCTTGACGATGAAGCCAACGCCGGATTGGTTCATTTGTTTTCCGAAGCAACTTTCCGCCAAAGCACTAATTTTCAATTAAACAAACCAAAAAACCTGGACCTCAAGGACACTGTGCAGCCTCGGATTCTCCTCATATGCCTAACAATGCCTAACCCATCATGAGTCAATTTCCGACATAAGAACCCTAAGAAACATATCGCATCACACGCCACAGACCAGCTAAATTGCTCGCCAGGGCACTGATCTTGTGTTTGGTCCAGGATCTGCATGACTATCACACCTCCCAGGTGTCCCTAGCTTTCCCGCTGGTCTGATCCCCCCGCTGATGCCGTTTGCATGGTCACACCGTCCGATGCGCCCGTCCAACGCCATCTGTCGGATTCAACCCCTTCCGGGTCTGTCAGCGGAGCTGAGCAGCGCAATACCGAACAAGCAACTGGCCTATATATCTCTCTCTCTCTCTCTCAGAGCCTCGCGCTGGTGACATGCTACCGAGGTCCTCCTGAAGTGTGTGGCCGTTTCGCCGCCCAAAAGAGAAGAGACTTATGTTCAGGACACACTTGTGGGGTGTTGCTTGAGGGCGCCTCAACAGACTAACAGTGGTTTCTGGAGTCGAGACCCCAAGAAGTAGGGCCCCTTCGGACCCCACACCCGTTTGGTTTGATTTCTCGTTCTGAAGTCTTTTGGGCCAAAGTGTTTCTTTTGATTGGTTGCTCACTATTTTGGTGCATCTTGGGAGACCGGTTTCACTTGGAACACCTATCAGCTGGCTCTGGATCTTGAAGCTGCAACATGAACTCAACGATCAAAAGAGTCAGTCTATGGCATCAATGATTGTCCACGAAAACAAATGGACAAAAAACACAAATAGTTGTAAAGTGTATGTCGAGCTGAATGCTAAATACTGAAATATATTACTGAAAGTTTGATCAATTTTCCAGTGGTGCTTAATCATTGAACCATCTTCTAAACCAAAAAAAACTATTGATAAATTCTGACTCACAACAAGGTGCTTTCTGTAACTCGGGCTGTGAGTATCCAATGATGG